ATCATACAACTGGAACATACCACTGTCATAATACTGCGAATTAAACTTTGCATCACGTACATCAGTGGCAGTCTGCAGTGTCATCTGTTCGTTCGCTCTCAGAGACTCATTGTTGTTTATACTTCCATGAGGTGAGATATGTGATACATAATCCGCTGTGCAGGGAATTGTGGGTCAGAAAGACCAGAACAGCATGTTGGGTTACAAAATGCAAAATGCTCGACACAAAGTAGAATTTCGAATTTACCATGTGATCCAATGGGACATTCTAAATCTTTTTCTATTGCTATATAGACTGGTAGTGTGGGTGTTGGAACGTACACCTGCTCCTGCATCTCGTCTCTGCACGTACTGCTTTTCCATCAGTCTTCGTGTTCTGATGGTTTTTTTTCCTGTTTTTGTCAGTCTGTTGCTGGTGTCTTTCCTTCTCTCTTTACCCTCTGAGTTACTACCTGACTGAACTGAAAGTTTCAGAGGTAACATGATTCCTGTTGGATTGTTGGACCAGCTGCTATGGCAGGTTCAGACAGGATACAGAAAACTTTAAGTAGAGAAACCGATTCCTGTTCACCTCTTTTTTTGTAGCCAATGTTTTCTCCTCACTAGATCCTTGCTTGTGTTGTATCTACTCTCAGATGTACGTCACTTTGGATAAAAGCGTCTGCAAAAGGAAACTGTAGAATTGTAGAATAAACCTCACATTGGGTGGTGGTCTCGCACATTTATTAAAGCACTGTATATTTTCTAAATAAAGGAAACATTTATAGGTAAGGAGGTTTCTCAGGCCTCAGGTGTTTTTCATGGCGTCAGACTTGCAGTTAATGATTTATGAAATCCAATGACTGTTATCTTTGGTGTGTGTTTCAGTTTGACGGCATCTTGCAGAGACAGAGGACTGGTGACTTGGAAACAGCCGAGGACTTATTCTGTTTCTTCACCGACCGGGTCCAGACAGCAGATCGCTGCATTTGTGGAAAGAAGCTGAGTAAGTATAACTTTTATTCATTGCACTCTCTAAGATTCCTCCATCATCACCAACGAGCACGAACATGTGGGCCAGTGCCTTTAAAACAAAGTCTGCAAGTAGAGAGAAGTTTTCTTTTAGATGACACTGAATCACATCACATCAGACTGAAGAATATACATTTCTTCTGGTGCTGGTCCAAGTTCATTTTGACATTTAAGATGTTTTACAAAGTTTCGTACTTCCTGTTATTGGCAGTGTGTAATGGTCAAAGTTTACTTTATTGTTTTATGACTGCACAATGATTCACTTGAATAACATTTAACAGAGACCAGTGAGCGCCCTCTGTTGTTTCCCTTTATGTCTGTTGTTTCCCTTTATGTTGCTGTCAGGCTGCAGTTAACTGGTGTTCCAACTGTTATACACCTGCAGCGTGGCTTTTCATTTGCACCTACTGCAAGATTTATCCATTTATATTAAAGTGAAAGGCATTAGCGCTAAGCAGTGAATCAACAGTATTATAAACCTGAAATTCACAATTATGTGTCAGGCTTGTGATGATGACAGCTCCCCACTGATGGTCAGTCAAAGTTAAAGATTTCAGAAATCAGAATCAGAACGCCAATGCACAACATATGTCATCCCATAACACTTCACGTAGTTAAGTACGACCTTACAATTTAAAAAAAAAAAAAAAGAACAGAGAACTCAACAGTCCAAAGTAGCCTTTAGTTTCTCTATGAGCAAGCAGTGGGCGATGGTGGGAAGTACCAAAAAAAACAAGAACAACAACAAAAAAACCTTTAACAGGGAGGGGAAAAAACTTCCAACAGAGCCAGGTTTCAGGAGGACGGCCACCTGCCTCGACCGCTTGGGGTGAGAGTGGAGATGAGGGGGATGAGGGATAGCAGGATAGCAGCTGGAGAGAGCAGACAAACAAGCAGCTTCCTCAGCCTCACATTGTTGTCTGACTGCATTCAGCTGAGAAAAACACAACATAAGAACCGATCGGTGGAGGAGCTGCTGATCTCTTTACAGCACACATGATGAACATGAGGATCTTCGTGGATGTGCACTGAATGATGTGTTTCTTCTGCAGATGACCACAGAAAGTGTGTGTGAGCTAGTGTGAGTTCAGCAGCATGGATCAGCCCGAGGACTCTGACAACTCTCTGGATCAGAAGAACCAGAGCAAAGCTGAAAGGTGAGACAACCATCTCGAACTGTCCACGACTCTTTTACATGTCAGAGCTCAGCACTCATCACTGTTCGGTCATTATTCACAGTAAAGAACCTGAAGTAGAACCTGGACCTGCACCCAGCTGTGTGTCCATTAACTGATGAAACCATTAGTTGTCAACTATTAGGTTGATGATCAATGAATCAGTTTGAGTCACTTTTCAATAAAATTTGTCTAAACAAAGATTTTTAGTTTTCGTTGCTCTTTGGGGAAACCAAGACTTCATGTTGAACTTTTAAATTTGGGAAAAATATTTTTCACTTATAAAAAACAATTATGGACCAAGCAGCTGATAAATTAAGAAAATAAATGACAAATTAGGGAAACTAAATGAAATAGTCATTAGTTGGTATTTTTTGTTGATACTTTGTATATTTCTGTTGTA